CTAGTGTTTTCTATACTTTCCTTAGCCAGTTTGGACTCACTGACTCAGCTTTAGAATTGAAAGCAATCTCAAAGAATTAAAGTAAATACATTTTTTTATCAATTCAATAAAATATGTACTAAATACTGTGCTAAGTAACAGCAGATATGATGATGAATAAGGCAAAACATTGTCCACTCAGATCTTGTAAACTAGTGCAAGAAAGACTTATTTGCAATACAACTATAATGTAATGAGATGTTGTAAAAATAATTCATACCAAGTGGTGTCAAAACACAGTTTTGGGAATGAGAGGAGTTAAATACATTAGTCTGAAAAGTTTTCATATTATGTAAAATCAGATAGATCTTAACAAACAATAGGAGTTTGTCAGTTAGCAGAAGAAGAAGACATATTATTGCAAGAGGGGTCAGGAGGTCTAATGTTATGGAGCTGTGTAGAGGCATGGATGTTTGGGGAAATGATGGTGGCTAGTAATTGTTAGAGAAATAATATGACTATGAAACTTAGATCTATCCTCAATCCTGGATTCACTACCTATTAGATGTGTGATTCTGACCAAGTAACTTTATTGACCAATTTTCATTTCTAAAATAGAAATATTCCAGGCACATAGAAGTAAAAACATAATAAAAATCTTCCTTATTATTCATCATAAAAACAAACATAAGAGAAAACTATATACTTGGGCCATATTAGCTTAGCTCCTTGAATAACTGTCTTTAATAATTCATTAAAGAACTGAAGAGTTAGTTAAATGATCTGATTTATGATTTAGAATAACTCCGATAGTAATGTAGAGATAGATAAGAAGAAGACACGATTAAAAATATAAAGGAGTAACAAAAACTATAAAAAGTATGAGAGATGGTGAAAATATGGTCTAAGATATGTAAGGAAAATAATGGACAAGATTTAATGACTGACTAAATGTTGAGCGATACTTCCAAGTTGCTGGCTTGTAAGATTAGGTTGTGGCATTAACTGAAGTACCAATTACTGATGAATAACTAGGTATGGGCAGTGGAAAGATATAAAATCAATTTTCTTGTATCCTTTCTAAAACAGATATTGTTAAATTCATGTTGAGATTGAGATTGAGATGTTATATTCAGGTAGAAATGCTCCAGGAAGAGGTTAGATATACTATCTTGTAAGTTAAAAGGTATGGTGTATAGTTATTGATAATGACCTTGAATAGTGAAATGAAGGCAAGGGTTTTAAATTTGGATTAGGTAATACCTCTTTAAATCATACCATATTTACTGAGCACCTAACACATGTAAGAGCCTGTACAAAATGCCAGAAAGAAGTGATGTATTAAACAAAAATGGTCATTTTCATAATCAGCGAAGGAGCTGAGACAGAAACATGCAATTACAAACTACAATAAAGGCTCTAATGCAAAAGAACAGAGTACTGTACACACTTATAAGGGAGGCCTCATCATTTACAAATTACAGAAATTTCCTGAGGAATTGATATTTGTGCTGAGGATGGCAAATGGGGGGACAGTATGCTTAGTGTTGCAGATATTCATGCAAGCATTGTCAGTAAAACCCTTAAAGTGAGAATCACACAGTGAATACTGAAAACAAAAACAGCATTAAAGAAAGCAGAATTAAATGTCTTTAGGGATAAACAAGAACAGATGCCAGGGAAGCTGGGTCCACTCTGAACTCTGGCAGAGAATCAAAAAACAGAAAATGAATAGTGGCAGCTGCCAGGATGTGAGGGAGGAAAGCTGATTCTCCGAAGTTTGATTTAAGAAGGAAGAGAAGAGAAAAAGTTGCTGTGCTGGGCCTGAAGAATGATTCTGGAGCATAACAGTAAAAAAAATTTAATGGGGATTCCTTGAGAAAAATACGAAAATTATTTTCAGATCTTAAAGTATGGAGGTTATTAGTGCTCTTCAGCTACAAGATAGTAAATGAAAAGGAAATTAGATTATAGTTGACCGAGAATTAAGTTGAAAGTGGTAACATTGCAAGTAAAGCTTTAAAAAAGTTTGAATATAGAAAGAGGCGAGAAACTGAGGATGTGGGAAGAATGTGGCATAGGATTGGAAAAAGTTTTCTTCTTGGTAAATGAAGCATATTAAGCATCTTCATAAGCTGAAAGAAAGGAGGCAGCTGAAAATAATAAGATGGCTTTGAAGACATAAAATAATAAAACAGTAAGTAATGGAACAGGTTTGAGAAAGCAAGAAGGAAAGAGATCAAATAAAGAGCTGGGTGAAAGAATTTGTATTGAGCAAAAGGAGAAAAGGAAAAACACTGGATATGAAAAAGGGTTCCATAAGAGCCTGGGGTTGCATAAATAGACACCTTTGTATATGGAAAGGCATAACAATTTGGAGTTTGATAATCTGATCCAGCATTGTATTTTCCTAATGATAAAGTTTTCTTGCCTAATTTCACAACTGAGGCTAAAAGTAGTATAAAATCCTGCCCAAGCCTACAGAGTAAGGTAGCTTTGCCTTTTAATATAGAGCTCAAACGCAGTATGAATATAACTGAGAGTGTTTATTTATTTATTTGCAAAACCGAAATTTAAGTATCAGTGCACATTCTACATGTAATATGTTGAGTGTGCCATCCACATGTAAACAGGCTAAAGATTAATGTCTTTTTCTTAAAACATACAATATCAATATGTAGCTGAATCATTATTCTTATGGGCAAATTGATACTCGGTATTTTATGAATTTTCAAAGAACTTTTCATTTGCTCGTTGGGTTGATAGATAACCACATTTGCTCATGTTTACTAATGTCACACAAAAAAGGACTTCCATAAGCCTGGTTAGTCAGAAAGGGCACTACAAACAGCCTGTGGACAAAAAATCTGTATTTAAAGAAAATTATAATTTTCTACTTAAAAATTAAGACTAAGGAATATTAAAGTAAAAGCAGATAAGCTACTTTAGGGCACTCTTCTGGATTTCCTTTTAGTTTTAAGGACATTTTAGTTCTTAGTCCGAAGGTAGGTTTATGAAACAACTCTCAAACTCATCTGAATCATGAAATTGGATAGAAAACTCACTGATAAATTCATTATCAGTGATAAAAATATATATATAAATATATATATATATATATATTTTACAAAACTTTCCATGAAGGCAAAGAAGTCCTCCCACTGGTATTACATAGTCAGATTTAAGATCACAAACTCATTCATTCTTTCATACAGTAAATATTTATGAAATGCCTGCTAAGGACCAGACACTGTGCTGGGCACTCTAGCTATGGAAAAGGAAACGAGAACAAGCAATGCCTGATATATTGTTTTCCTGAAGTCAACCACAAGAACTAAAATAACATAAACAATGTTAATTCCTTTCCTGAAAATTAGGTTGGAATCTCAGTGATTTTGACATAGCTTTATCCTGGCTATGTGTAATTTGGCAAATGGGTAGACTTAAATCCACTATTCACAAGGAGTAAGCTATTGCTTTTACAGAGCATTATCAATTATTTGTTTTGTTTTTCACATTTAGAGGTACTTCTGTTTTCCAAGGTAAAGAGTTGAGAAGGCATATCATTTCATAATGTCAATTTGGCACTCTCTAATATTAAAATAATATATCAATAAATTTACATATGGGAATTCATGGCACAAAACATTTGTCTTTTGCAACATATTTACAAAGGTCTAATATTTTATCTCCAAAAAATTAGCATGAAGGTGCATATGTAACCAATATATCTTCAAAAATAATTGCATAGATACCATGAAAAAGCAGTACACCATATGGGCAATGAAAACATAAATCAATATTAAAATGTAATGGAAATGCTGAAACAGCCCAGAAGTTAAACATACAAAATTGACCAGATTCCTTTTAATATTTATTTGTTGGCTCTGTTAGTAGAGAAAATACAACTTATAAAATGAAATAAACCATCAGCCTTATTAAAATTTCTATGGCTTAAAAAAATTAAGGAAAAAGACCAAGACTTTTAAACTATAACATTTACTGCTTATATATTTAAACTGTAATATTGTCATAGCAATGAAAAAAAATATTCAAATAACTGAAAAAGAAATCAAATCTGCAAGTATGTTAATCCAAATTTAATAAAAGAAGCATTTAGGTTGATACAATGTTAAATAAATTCTCTGAATACAACGTTTTACCATTATTAAGAATATAGATAATTATGATACATTCTAAGCCTCTTCTTGAGGCAGATACATAATCTACAGAGTATGAAAGGAAACAGCTGTTATATGAAAGCACAAATCTCTAATTAGATTCAGTACTTGAAACCTGAATATGGACAGCAATAATCTCAAAAGAAGTTAATCTTAAAAACAAATAACTTTTCCCTTTTAGACCATTTGAGCAATTTAAAATTCCTAGGCATTTCAGTACTGACATATTTATTCCATACAACATGGGAAAAAATTTAAAAAAAAAAATGCTACATGGGCTTTTACAATCAATCGACAGAGACTGGAACAGGTGAAGAGGACTCAATTCATTGACAAAGCCTGGAATTCTATAATAAGTAAAACTAATGCCCATTATCTTTTTCCAATCTCTTTATAATAATCCAGTGTAGTGTTAAAACCATGAACTTAACAGTCAGACAGGTATATCGGGGTTCAAGTATATTTACTAACAATTTGTGTAAGCTTGGGTAAGTAAACAGCTTTACTGTTTCAGACTCTTCAGGAGTAAAAATGAGAAGAAGGCGGCAGTCCAGTCATAAAGATGCTATAAAGATTATGTGAGAGAGCATAGGTAAAACACTTAGCACGGGCCCTGACACATACAGCTCAACAGATGCTATGGAGTGGTTTTAATGGAAGTATTACTACTACGAGCACTCCTAAAGGATTTCAGGTGAGAACACTTTAAAAGAAATTGATGTGATTTAAATTCATATATATATGGATGTCTTTAATGTCAATTTTTAGAAACATATCTGTTACAAGCTGAATTCATTAGGGTATTTTCTTAATAATGATAACACGGAAGCTCTCACTTACCTTGTCATTTACTACACTCTTCCCATCCCAAGCCCATCCTCTTTTGGTGAAGTAATTAACAGTTGCAAATTCAATTAGGGCAGAGAACACAAATGCATAACAAACAGCAATAAACCAGTCCATGGCAGTCGCATAAGCCACTTTGGGGAGAGAATTTCGAGCACTGATGCTTAGAGTTGTCATTGTTAGGACAGTTGTTACTCCTGCAAAAGAAAAGATAGGAACCAAAAACATCAATAGTTACTGGCAGGACAGCATGGGAAGTAGCTTTTCTTTCTGCCCCCATCCTCCAAAGCTTTTGCTACTCTTATCCACTAAAAAATAATAAATAAATGAATAAATGCTAGAATACAGTGTAAAGTTAATTATCTTAAATAGATATGATATTTCTTGATGTAATGACTCTCAAAATATTTTCGGTTTCCATTTTTATTCTGTATAGAAATCATTTTTCCTCTTCCTAAGTACTATTGAAGTTAAAAAGACTGGGGATACTGAAGTAGCATTACCTACAAGGAAAAGCAGGCACTTTAAATGGGCCCATTGCCAATTAATATATATTTTTTAAATCTTGTAAAACCCTCACATTAATTTGTTCATCATTTATTTGAATCATGTTAAGCAATGGATCAATAACCCACAGAAGTAATCATAAAGGAACCGTGATTTAAAAATACTTCAAGAAGCTCAGCGCAGTGGCTCACGCCTGTAATCCCAGCACTTTGAGAGGCTGAGGAGGGTGGGTCAGAAGGTCAGGAGTTCAAGACCAGCCTGGCCAAGATAGTGAAACACCATCTCTTTTAAAAATACAAAAATTAGCCGGGCATGGTGGCGGAAGCCTGTAATCCCATCTACTCTGGAGGCTGAGGTAGGGAGTTGCTTAAACCGGCAGAGGTTGCAGTGAGCCAAGATCACACCACTGCACTCCAGCCTGGTCGACAGAGCAAAACTCCGTCTCCAAAAAAAAAAAAAAAAGAAAGAGACAGAGAGAGAGAGAAACAGAAAGAGAAGGAAGGGAAGGAAGGAAGGAAGGAAGGAAGGAAGAAGGAAAGGAGGAAGGAAGGAATGGGAAGGAAGGAGGAAAGAAAGAGAAAGAGAGGAGGAAGGAAGAAGGAAGGAAGGAAGGAAGGAAGGGAAGGGAAGGAAGGAAGGAAGGGAAAGAAAGAACTTCAAGCCTGGCTTTCAGTGTTAAATCCAATTCTTGCATTGCTCAGCATATGAGGTGACCTAACTTTTTCTTTTACAACATAACTAGAATGCAGTAAAATTATGAACCAAACACTTAAAACAAAAACTCTAAAATATAATTAATTATTTTGTAACTTTCTTGATTTTAAAAATATATATTTCCTTTCCTTTTAACATTTAGCTTTTCTGACAGTGGTAAGGAAGTCACAATTGATAGAGAGAAAATAAGGGCAATAGTTCAGGAGGTAATTGATATATAAGTCCTCAAAATGACCATTACAATAACCTGTTTTGTCAGGGATCCAATATAAGTTTAATTATGTGCACTGGAGGTACATTAAATTAAAAGAAAATATGAAAATGTTAAAGAAATGTTCATTCATATTTGAAGGTTCTTTGTATTTTATTTTCCTTTAGGATAAAACAGTATTTTCATTCATTTACAATACAGTTAGCAATTCAAAATAGCAATAATTCCAGTAAAGCATGAGTAAATGCATCTAGAAGTAACCTATGATTGTAATAGTAAGAATGAAAGAAAAAAGGAACTTTATTTCACCGGCTGCTGAGTTATTAAAAACCACATTTACAGAAACATATTATGTTTGCACATGCTAAATTGTGAAAGGTTTTGATGAATACGTTGCTTTCCTTTGAGACTTTCATACAAAAGAATAGAATATAAGACAGATACACATGTACATACATACATATACATATACATCTACATATGTATGTATATACACTCAATATAGGAAATGAAAATAAATCAGCAGCAACAGTAAAGATAATCCAAAAATAGTTGCTCTTTAAAAGCAATATTATCATCAAAATGTTAGTAAAATTTTTAAAAATTGATACTCTCCTGATAGTGTGGAAGACATAGGGCATTACAAATTTGTGTCATACCTAAGAAACTGTCGTCTAATCCAAGGTCATGAAGAATTAGCCCTATATTTCCTATCAGTTTTAGAGTTTTAGGTCTTACCAGTGAGTCTTTGCTCCATTTTGAGTTCATTTTTGTGTGTGGTGTAAGGTAGATGTCCAAATTCATTCTTTTGCACATAGATAGCCCGTTGTCTCAGCACCATGTGTGAAAAAAGACTTTTGTTTCCCCATTAAATTATCTTGGACACTTTGTTGAGAATCAATTGACCATAGATATGTGGGATATCTCTTTACTGCAAATGTTATATCATTGATCTACATATCTATCCTTAGTCAAGTTTTACACTGTTTTGATGACTCTAGCTTTAGAGTAACTTTTGAAATCGAGAAGCTTGAGTCCCTTCTTATTCCTATTCATCGGTCTTAGTTTTCTTCAAGATTGTTTTGGCTATTCAGCATCCCTTACATTTCTGTATGTTGTTACAGTCATTTTGTTCAGTTTTGTAAAAAGGTCATTGGAATTTTAATAGATATTTAATTGAATCTGCACATGATATTTTGGTAGTAATGTCATTTTAATGATATTTAGTCTTTCAGTCTTTGAACACAGGATATATTTCCACTAGATCATTCTTTCTCTCATTCTCTCCTGTCTCTCTCTATTTCTCTATAATAAACATTTCCATTTATTTAGGGCTTCTTTAATTTCATACAGCAACATTCTATGGTTTTCTATATATAAGTCTTTCATCTTCTTGGTTAAATTTATTTATAGATATTGTATTTGTTTAGATGCTAATGTAAATGGAATGGCTTTCTTAACTTTCTGTTCAGATTGTTCATTGCTTATGTACAAAAACACAACTGACTTTTTGTATGTTGATTTTGTACCCTGCACCTTTGCTGAATTTAATAGCTGTGACAATTTTGACGTGGTTCGTTAAGGGTCTTCTATGAATAAGATCATGCAAATAGAGAGAGTTTTACTTCTTCTTTTCCAATCTGCGTATTTTATTTGTTTTTCTTGCCTAATTGCCCTAGCTAGAACGTGTAGTATAACGTTGAATAGAATTGTTGAAAGCAGACATCTGTGTCTTATTTCTGATGTTAGGGAGAAACTTTAATCCTTCACCTACAGGTATGATTGTTTTCATTTTTATTTTCTTATTTTCCATAAATATGCTATATTATATTGATTTGATTTTTGTATGCTGATCTAACCTTGCATTTCTGGGATAAATCCCACTTTGTCATGCTATGTAATCCTTTTAAAATATGGCTGATTTTAGTTTGCTAGTATTTTGTTGAGGGCATCTGCATCTATATTTAAAAGGAATATGGATCTGTAGGTTTTTAATTGTGATTTCTTTCTCTAGTTTGGTGTCTTGGTAATACAGCCTTATAAAATGAGTCAGGAAATGTTTCCTTCTCATGTATTTTCTGGAATGTTTTGAGAAAGTTTGTTGTTAATTCTTTATATGTTTGGGAGAATTCACCAGTGAAGCCATTTGACCTTGAGGTTTTCTTAATTGGAATATTTAGTTTACTAAATTCATAGTTTTATTTGTCATAGGTTTATTCAGAATCTTGAGTTAATTTTAGTCATGTGTCATTGCTAGGAATTGTTATAGTTAATATAGATTGTCTAAATTTTCGGCATACAATCGTTACCAGAATTTATATATAGATATAGATATAGATATAGATATATAGATATAGATACAGATACAGAGAGAGAGAGAGAGAGAGAGAGAGAGAGAGAGAGAGAGAGAGATTGAGTCAGTCTTGCTTGACATTTCACCCAGGCTGAAATGCAGTAATGTGATCTTAGCTCACTGCAACCTACACCTCCTGGGTTCAAACAATTCTTGTGCCTCAGCATCCTGAATAGCTGGGATTACAGGAGCATGTCACCATGCCCAATTAATTTTCATATTTTTAGTAGAGACGGATTTTGTCATGTTGGCCTGGCTGGTCTCAAACTCCTGGCCTGTCTCAAACTCCTGGCCTCAAGTGAGTGATCCACCCGCCTCGGCCTCCCAAAGTGCTGTGATTACAGGCATGAGCCACTGTGCCTTGCCACGTATATATATATATTATATAAATTTCTTTTGCTCTATGGTCAGAAGTGATGTCCTCTCTTCTTGCTTAATTTTAGTAATCTGATTTTTGTCTCTTTTTTTCTTGGTCATTGTAGCTAAAAGTAACTCAGTGCTATTGATCTGCTCAAAAACCAACTTATGGTTGTGTGGTAATTTTTTCTATTTGTTATTTCTGTTCTTTCTACAATTTATCTCTACTCTAACACTTCTTATTTTTCTTCCCCTTGCTTTGGGTTTAGCTTTTCTACCATTCAAGGAAGATGGTTAAGTTATTGATTTGAGAATTTTTTTTCTCTTCGTAACATAAGTGGTTAGAGATACAAATTTCTCTTTAAGAACAAGCTTTTGTCATATTCCATAACATACGTTATTTTTTGTTTCCATTCAATCTTAAAGTATTTTCTAAAACCTCTTGTGATTTCTTCTTTGATTTCATGGTTATTTAGAAATGTCTTCTTTAATGTTTACATACTATAAATTTCCCAAATTTACTTTTTTATTGATTTCTAATTCTATTCTATTGTAGTGTCAGAACATACTTTGTAATAATTCAATCTTTGAATTTCTTGAGGCTTGTTTAATGGTCTAATGCATTATCTTCCTAGAGAATGCTTCATGCCCACTTGAGAAATATGTGCATTCCCCTTTTTTGACCAGAGTACGTTAGGTGTAGTTGGTGTATTCCCTATTCAAGTCTTCTACATTTTGCTGATCTTCTGTCTAGTTATATTCATTTTAATATTTTTAATATTTTATTTTAATATTAAAATTTTAATATTTTAATATTTTATTTTAATAAAATATTAAATTTTGTATTTAATTTTTAATATTTAAAATAAATATAAAATAAATTTATAAATTTAAATATAAATAAATATAAAACAAAGTTTTTAGTTAATGTTTAATATTTTATTTTAGTTTTGATGAATAATTCTAGGTTGAATATTTTTATTTTCAAATATCTTCCCATGGCCTCTGGTCTCCATGGTTTTTGATTATTTGTTAGGTGTTAATCATATTGAGAA